TAGTTTTGTATCAGTGTAGTAGTTTGGTTTGATAAAATTAAAATGTACAACATGATGATTCGCTTCTGAAAACATTTTTCTAAAAAATCTTGTATTTTGTTTTGGACATTATTCAGGTAATTAATTTCAAGCACATTATCAGTTATTTTGAGCTCAACAAAGTATTTAACCAAGAGTTAAAGTACACCTACTATAGAGATTTTTTCTTTCAAAAAGAAAAAATGACAAATATGGAAACTTCCATAAGCACGAAATTGATATTGCTTTTGCTTTAGTTCTATGCCTATTTTTGATGTACTAGTTACATGCTCTTTTTATCTGGCTTGTTGCTTTGTTTGTAGTTTCCTTCTAGGAAGGAAATTTCTGTAGAAAATGCCAGGACAATGACATTTAACTCTTTACAAGAAAAATAGAGTTATGTCAATTAATTTGATAGACTAAACCTTTTTAGTACATTATCATTTCTCTTCTGGTGAGTTTATTCATCAACCTACCTAAATTTCACTAACAGATAAACTTACCTAGATTAAGGGCTTTTTCTTTTCAAATAAAGAACAATTTTGATCAAATTTTGATATTAATTGCAGCTTTCTTTGACCATTTTAAACACACAATTCAAGCATCAATATAGTATATTTTGAATAGACAAGTTATTTAAATATTGTCCAAATCTAGAACCCAAATCATTGATATCAACAAATTGTTCAACCATGAAGTCAATTCTTTATAAGCAAATTAAGTTCAAAAGTAAAATGATTTTTGACATACATATAAAACATTTCTTAATATAATTTTTTTATAATAATTACTGTTTTTACATTTACAATTAATTTTTATAAAAGGAGGTAAAGAAAAATATTCCATATTTTGAAGTAGAATAGAGTGAGTAGTTAAGAAGAAGGAAGATAAAATGATGATGTGTGGTTTTGTTTCNTAAAGAATCAACTACAATCTAATTATGTGAATTTAATATTCATTCAATAGATTTATTAGATTATACTTATAGAAAAGTAATAGTATTAAAACTCTAAGTATTGTGTATTGTGTGATACATTTCATTATTTCTCTCTCTTTAAGTCTTTATTTTATTATTTTATGAATATTCTAATTGATGTTATAAAAGTGGAGAAAGACCAAATTAATATTGAGATCATTATCACCTCACGCTGTGTTTTCTATAGTACTTAATCACTTATTGCAAGAGATTTAAGTTTCAGATTGAAGTAAGATATCATCATATGTTGATTTATATGGATTAGCAGCTCAACCCGCAATAACTAACTAACACTGCTTTTCTATATCCATTTTTTCATGTTCACTGCTCTTAATCAGTAGTAAATTTATGTTATAATAAACAAGTTGACCAATAAAATTTATCATATTTTATTCAATTTTAATTTAAATAATCCAAACACCAAAATATAATTACCATATCATGTCACACTAAACTTTACCTAATTCCATTCAAAGCTCAAATCATAGACCAAACAGAGAGACATATATATCAGTTAGCACTTGGTGTGTTTGTTGCCAAGAACTTGTGCAGAGGATGATGACGTAAATTTGCACGACTTTTGTAGTTAATTTTCCAAAATATAGTGTTTCTTTGATGCAACAAATTATACGTAATAGTTTTGTATCAGTGTAGTAGTTTGGTTTGATAAAATTAAAATGTACAACATGATGATTCGCTTCTGAAAACATTTTTCTAAAAAATCTTGTATTTTGTTTTGGACATTATTCAGGTAATTAATTTCAAGCACATTATCAGTTATTTTGAGCTCAACAAAGTATTTAACCAAGAGTTAAAGTACACCTACTATAGAGATTTTTTCTTTCAAAAAGAAAAAATGACAAATATGGAAACTTCCATAAGCACGAAATTGATATTGCTTTTGCTTTAGTTCTATGCCTATTTTTGATGTACTAGTTACATGCTCTTTTTATCTGGCTTGTTGCTTTGTTTGTAGTTTCCTTCTAGGAAGGAAATTTCTGTAGAAAATGCCAGGACAATGACATTTACCTCTTTACAAGAAAAATAGAGTTATGTCAATTAATTTGATAGACTAAACCTTTTTAGTACATTATCATTTCTCTTCTGGTGAGTTTATTCATCAACCTACCTAAATTTCACTAACCGATAAACTTACCTAGATTAAGGGCTTTTTCTTTTCAAATAAAGAACAATTTTGATCAAATTTTGATATTAATTGCAGCTTTCTTTGACCATTTTAAACACACAATTCAAGCATCAATATAGTATATTTTGAATAGACAAGTTATTTAAATATTGTCCAAATCTAGAACCCAAATCATTGATATCAACAAATTGTTCAACCATGAAGTCAATTCTTTATAAGCAAATTAAGTTCAAAAGTAAAATGATTTTTGACATACATATAAAACATTTCTTAATATAATTTTTTTATAATAATTACTGTTTTTACATTTACAATTAATTTTTATAAAAGGAGGTAAAGAAAAATATTCCATATTTTGAAGTAGAATAGAGTGAGTAGTTAAGAAGAAGGAAGATAAAATGATGATGTGTGGTTTTGTTTCAGAAAACATTGAGTGAGAAGGAGACAAAACGCTAACATGGCCGGCACACTTGAAAGAACAAAGTCCCATGTTGCGTGAAACAAGAAACGCGCGTGAACTCAATCCAATCTCATTCTTAATAAATTAAAAAAGAAAGAAGAAGAAAAAGTGCACAAGGAAGAAAGAGGACATTTGTCCTAACCATTGTGAATTTTGATCTTCTGGACCAAACTCTCAACCGCCTGGACTATCTTTCCAATCTCACCTCTTTCTCTCATATTCAAACAAAAATCTTTGCTTTCTCAATTCTTCATCCTTTTTCTTTTACAATTTTTCACCCTGAAAAAGGGAGAGACAAGACAATCATGGTCCAGTTTTGAATTAAGGTGGTAAAAGACAGAAACAAAACATGGGTTCTTCTTCAAGAGTTGGCAGTAGCAGCTACGATTACTCCTTCAAGGTTCTTTTGATTGGTGATTCTGCTGTTGGCAAGAGTAGTCTTCTCCTCAGCTTCATCTCCAATTCTAACTCTATCCATGATCTCTCCCCCACCATTGGTACTTTCTTTTGTCTCTGTTCTGTGAATTTGGCTTCCTTTTTTCTTTCTTGCTTCGAAAAATGGAACAGGGTGGCACAGGATTGAACTGTGTTCTTGCAAATTCAACACCTTTATCAAGACTTCTGTCAAACAATGATGAGGGTCAATCTTTTTGAAAACTTTTCATTTAAAGTGTTTCATAGACTCATGCATTCTTGTGGAAAGTGTTTATGGAGTCAAGTCAGTTTTCTTTCAGTTTTCAGATATCTTTTGTGGACCTTTTGGTCTTTTATATTTTACTCTAATTTATGGTTCCCTTTTATTTTTTATATCCGTATCTTCTTGTTGGACCATATTGCCAATTTTTATTCTTTGGATTTGGTTTGACTTGTGCCGGATAAACACTTTGGTTAACCCATTTTGCGAACAACTTTTCTGAATTGGGAAAAGAAATCTCTTATATGGTCTTCCTAGAATTGAAATTGGACTTGGTCATATCTTAGAGAGGGTTTGATTTGTTTTTAATTTCCATTCAGTTGATATCATTTTCCTAATAGCTACACCGGTACCTTGTTTTTTCAAAAGGTTTTCAAGATTTTATTTTCATTACATTTCAAGATTCTGTTTCACCATTTTCTGAGTGAAATTTTCTACCCAGAATCTTGAAAAACAATGTGGCATTTTTTTTTAAATTATTAGCAAAATTGATATCAATTTCAAAAGAAAACAGGAAAAGAACTAAACGTGTGCTTAAGATTTTTCGTGATGAATGTCACATTCGTTGAAATTTGCTAAATCACCCATTTTTATTTTTTGAGGAATTTTATTTTCATTATCAGTATCTTATTTGAAAGTTGAAGCAATTGATCTTGTGCATGCATACATACGGTTAAATAGCGCAATTGTCTTGTGGGGTGATACATTTAACCTTCTTTGTTCATGGTATTTTATTTGTCTCTTACAGTTGGTTATGATTTATTATAATATTGAGGCATTTGACTTTAAACTTTATACTTTCCATATGATTGAGTGGTTCATAGCATAAGGAATTTTGCAGAGTAATTTGTTGTACCATCACACTGCTACATACTGAGCTGTTGGTTCTTGAATCATTTAAGGTGTGGATTTCAAGATAAAGTTTTTCACAGTTGCTGGTAAGAGACTGAAGCTCACTATTTGGGACACAGGTAACAGATTTATACTTTTTAATCATATTTTTGCTGAAGGATTTACCTCAGTTTTCTACTCACTGTGAACATTGTTGTAATGATAATATTGCTTAATACGTGGTTAAGAATTAGATCATCAAGTTTGTGTGTATGCAATAAGAACTTAAATTAAATAGGTTTTACCTTGCAATGGTGAGTTGTTGCTAACGGATTATAATAACTTTGATTTAATGTTTGCAGCTGGTCAAGAGAGGTTTGGAACAGTAATAAGTTCTTATTACAGAGGTGCACATGGAATCATTCTTGGTATTCTATCTATATCTATGTTCTTGAAAATAATGCTTGTACTTGCATGAACATTTGCTTCTTTATGCTTTTTCAGTATTGCCTTTAGTGTCTGCATATAATACCTTTTCTTTTTTTCTTTCTATTTTCTATTTAGTCTATGATGTGACACGACGCGAGACATTTACAAATCTCATCGATATATGGGCAAAAGAAGTTGAGCTTTACTCTACTAATCATGATAGCATCAAAATTCTTGTTGGAAATAAGGTGGATAAGGTAAAAGACTGAAACCATAGAGGTTATGTATCTTTTTTCTCATTGTTTTCTTGCATTTCATTGTTTGGAATTTGAAGACTATGAGTTGTGTTATTTTTCAGGAGAGTGAAAGAGCCGTAAGCAAAGAAGAGGGAATGGCTCTTGCACAGCAACATAGATGCTTGTTCCTAGAGTGTAGTGCTAAAACTAGAGAAAATGTTCAGCAATGCTTTAATGATCTCTCATTGAAGGTATATATATAATCATATCTGATATTAAATTTCTTCTTTCTGTTCTTCATGTAATTCCTTAAATTTCCGACAACATGTGACTTGCTAAATTTTTGTTCTTCCATTTAACATTTACAGATATTAGATGTGCCAGGTTTAAGGGAAAAGGGGTCTCTTGCAGTGAGAAGGCAAAATCAAAAACAGTTGTATGAGACATCTCAAAGAGGTGGTTGCTGTTCTTAGTAAATATGCAGCACCATGATATGTTTAATAGATTTNATTGGTACTTTCTTTTGTCTCTGTTCTGTGAATTTGGCTTCCTTTTTTCTTTCTTGCTTCGAAAAATGGAACAGGGTGGCACAGGATTGAACTGTGTTCTTGCAAATTCAACACCTTTATCAAGACTTCTGTCAAACAATGATGAGGGTCAATCTTTTTGAAAACTTTTCATTTAAAGTGTTTCATAGACTCATGCATTCTTGTGGAAAGTGTTTATGGAGTCAAGTCAGTTTTCTTTCAGTTTTCAGATATCTTTTGTGGACCTTTTGGTCTTTTATATTTTACTCTAATTTATGGTTCCCTTTTATTTTTTATATCCGTATCTTCTTGTTGGACCATATTGCCAATTTTTATTCTTTGGATTTGGTTTGACTTGTGCCGGATAAACACTTTGGTTAACCCATTTTGCGAACAACTTTTCTGAATTGGGAAAAGAAATCTCTTATATGGTCTTCCTAGAATTGAAATTGGACTTGGTCATATCTTAGAGAGGGTTTGATTTGTTTTTAATTTCCATTCAGTTGATATCATTTTCCTAATAGCTACACCGGTACCTTGTTTTTTCAAAAGGTTTTCAAGATTTTATTTTCATTACATTTCAAGATTCTGTTTCACCATTTTCTGAGTGAAATTTTCTACCCAGAATCTTGAAAAACAATGTGGCATTTTTTTTTAAATTATTAGCAAAATTGATATCAATTTCAAAAGAAAACAGGAAAAGAACTAAACGTGTGCTTAAGATTTTTCGTGATGAATGTCACATTCGTTGAAATTTGCTAAATCACCCATTTTTATTTTTTGAGGAATTTTATTTTCATTATCAGTATCTTATTTGAAAGTTGAAGCAATTGATCTTGTGCATGCATACATACGGTTAAATAGCGCAATTGTCTTGTGGGGTGATACATTTAACCTTCTTTGTTCATGGTATTTTATTTGTCTCTTACAGTTGGTTATGATTTATTATAATATTGAGGCATTTGACTTTAAACTTTATACTTTCCATATGATTGAGTGGTTCATAGCATAAGGAATTTTGCAGAGTAATTTGTTGTACCATCACACTGCTACATACTGAGCTGTTGGTTCTTGAATCATTTAAGGTGTGGATTTCAAGATAAAGTTTTTCACAGTTGCTGGTAAGAGACTGAAGCTCACTATTTGGGACACAGGTAACAGATTTATACTTTTTAATCATATTTTTGCTGAAGGATTTACCTCAGTTTTCTACTCACTGTGAACATTGTTGTAATGATAATATTGCTTAATACGTGGTTAAGAATAAGATCATCAAGTTTGTGTGTATGCAATAAGAACTTAAATTAAATAGGTTTTACCTTGCAATGGTGAGTTGTTGCTAACGGATTATAACTTTGATTTAATGTTTGCAGCTGGTCAAGAGAGGTTTGGAACAGTAATAAGTTCTTATTACAGAGGTGCACATGGAATCATTCTTGGTATTCTATCTATATCTATGTTCTTGAAAATAATGCTTGTACTTGCATGAACATTTGCTTCTTTATGCTTTTTCAGTATTGCCTTTAGTGTCTGCATATAATACCTTTTCTTTTTTTCTTTCTATTTTCTATTTAGTCTATGATGTGACACGACGCGAGACATTTACAAATCTCATCGATATATGGGCAAAAGAAGTTGAGCTTTACTCTACTAATCATGATAGCATCAAAATTCTTGTTGGAAATAAGGTGGATAAGGTAAAAGACTGAAACCATAGAGATTATGTATCTTTTTTCTCATTGTTTTCTTGCATTTCATTGTTTGGAATTTGAAGACTATGAGTTGTGTTATTTTTCAGGAGAGTGAAAGAGCCGTAAGCAAAGAAGAGGGAATGGCACTTGCACAGCAACATAGATGCTTGTTCCTAGAGTGTAGTGCTAAAACTAGAGAAAATGTTCAGCAATGCTTTAATGATCTCTCATTGAAGGTATATATATAATCATATCTGATATTAAATTTCTTCTTTCTGTTCTTCATGTAATTCCTTAAATTTCCGACAACATGTGACTTGCTAAATTTTTGTTCTTCCATTTAACATTTACAGATATTAGATGTGCCAGGTTTAAGGGAAAAGGGGTCTCTTGCAGTGAGAAGGCAAAATCAAAAACAGTTGTATGAGACATCTCAAAGAGGTGGTTGCTGTTCTTAGTAAATATGCAGCACCATGATATGTTTAATAGATTTTTCAATAGGGATACTATAGTTACTATAGCAGGGTTTTTGTATCATATCAATTGTCACATTCAGATAGTTTGGATGATCGTATGCTCCAGCCTATTTCCATAACTCTCACAAGAGGATGCTTGAGATGGATATTTCCATAATTTTGAATTTTTAGTTTTATTATGTGACATTTTTACTTTCATGTTAGGTTCTTCTGGACAGGATTCAAACTCTACCACTTGTGACCATATGTATAAAAGAAAAATTAGGTAGAAACATGTTTAGTTTATAAATATTGGAGATAACTATCAATGAAAATGATACATCCATAAAAAAATGTAAACAAAAAGAATAATAATTATTAGAATGCGTTAACTTGGGGGTGAGACTAGAGGCTTGATAAATATATTTTAGATATTTGTACAAATAGACTTGAAAATTACTTTTTTTTTTTGTTAAATTGAAGTCTATTTCAGTTTTAATTGCTGATTGATCATTTAATATTAAAGTTTAAATAAGATAATAATTTAAATAAGATTATTACGGATTGAGGACTTGAAGAATCAACAAAAGAGTTTCTTCTTATATCTCAATTAATAATTAACATCAGAATTAATATTTTTAAGTGGTAATACTTTAATAATTTTTATTAAAAGATATTTTTTAAACCTAATATAAGATATTAAAATAAAAAAAAGTGATTTTTCTTATATTTATAGAGTTAAGATTTTAAACATTTTCATTATATTGCAATTTTTACTTTTTAGAGTGACATGATATCCCCGTTATTATTTAGTCTTAAAATAATTACTTTCAACTAAGTTTTAAGAAAATTTTGATAATATATAAAATTACAAATAATCATCATAAAAAAAAACTTAAGTTAAATTATTTAATATTAATAGCATAGTATTTATATAAGGATGCTTATCTAGTTATGGCAGAAAGAATAAGATATGAAGAGGAACACTTGAGACGTTGGAATGTTATCACTTTACGTGCAAGTTGGGATGTTATGATACGTACTATCTTTTTGTATTTAGTTTTTGTTTGGATAGGGATATAGCTTTTTGAACCACTATTCTACTCAACTTACACCCCTAGTTCTGCTGAAATTTATCAATAAAATTATGTAAGCGGAAAAATAAACAATTACGTAAAAGATAAAATAATTCCGTCTTTTTAATACATTTTCAATAATAATATAGAGTATGTTATGATATTATAAATTTAACAACCCAAACTATAAAACATCTTAGAAAAATTATTAGTCTTATACAACTTCATCACTTATTTAATTATATGGCCCTGTGTTAAGATATGATCACAATAATATCAAACATTAGTAAATTTTCAACATTAATGATTTTTCTTTGGCCGGCTGTTATATTTGAAATGAACAGAACCTCTCGGATTTTTGTTCCTTACATGTTTAGCAGTTGATAAGTTCAAAGCTATTTAAACTGTTAGGGCGTTGTTCTTGAAAACCAACTAATAAGAGGCACTGATATAGTAACATCCAAAGCAAGAGACTGTGGTGGCATTTCAATGGCTGCAGGTTTTGTTGCTCCTCAACTCAAACATGCTATCTGTGCAATTCTGGTGCTACCATTCTTAGTCACAACAGCCACTAGTGCTGACATATTCCTTGATTGGCACGTTTCCATCGACTTCAATTTAAAGCCTGTTTCTTCTGATCAACCAGTGAGGATTATAAATAACTTTCACCTATTCATCTTTTTATTTGTCTTACTCATGCATTCTTCACTAATACTATTGCTCATATACTCTGCAGGTAATAACAATCAATGGCCTGTTCCCGGGACCCCTTATAAATGCAACAACAAATGATAATATTCATGTCAATGTTTTCAATGGTTTAGATGATCCCTTGCTGTTTACGTGGTATTCTGTACATACTTTTCTCTTTCTTTATCTCTTCAAATAATCAATTAGTCTTACTGATGACCACTTCCAAGATTCGTATATTTTCATTTTGGTGTAGGAATGGTATACAGCAAAGGTTAGATTCATGGCAAGATGGCGTTTCTGGCACAAACTGCCCCATTCCAGCTGGTTGGAATTGGACTTATGATTTCCAAGTCAAAGACCAGATTGGCACATTCTCCTATTTTCCTTCCATCAATTTCCTTAAAGCTGGTGGAGGGTTTGGTCCAATTCGAGTCAACAATCGACCTGTGATCAGTGTTCCTTTTCCAAAACCAGAGGCAGAATTTGATCTTCTGATTGGAGACTGGTACAGCACCGGCTACAAGGTAACTGACTGCTTTCTTGCCTTGTGACTGTCGATACTCACTTTTAAACATTGACATTATTATGCCTTCAGCAATTCCATGGAATGATACTTCATTTCCTGATCTTTAATTTATCGATAGTTGCTTATTTTGTATTTATTTTTTGTTGCTATTTTTGAATATTATTTCGACCAGGACATTAGGTACAGGTTGTCTACTGCTAATGCTCTTCCTCCTGATTGGATGCTAATAAACGGCAAAAGACCGTATATGAACAATTTTTCTGTGTCATATGAGTCTATCAATGTTACACAAGGTGAGAACTGATTAAGAGAAAGGCTAGTGAATCACTTTATGATTACGTTGTCAATTAACTTAACTCCTTTAGGATGATGTGTCTCAGGAAAAACATATCTGCTAAGGATATCAAACGTAGGGACAACTTGGAGCTTCAACTTCAGGATTCAAAATCATCAAATGGTTTTGGTTGAAACTGAAGGTTCTTACGTCAATCAAATAGAGTTGGAGTCTCTTGATGTTCATGTAGGTCAATCCTATTCAGTTCTTGTCACAGCAAATGAAGATGCTGCTGATTACTACATAGTGGCCTCTCCTAAAATGAGTAATGCCACAGATAATAGCACTCTCGTCGGCGTTGCCGTGCTTCATTATGATAACTCTACCATACCAGCTAAGGGGTCTCTCCCAAGTGGTCCAGATCCCTTTGATGTGCAATTCTCCATCAACCAAGCAAAATCCATCAGGTAACTGCATGCCACAAAATGTTACTTGTGTAGTGTAGCTCAAATTTCTTGCGTTTGTTTGTGTGCTTTCTTATTGTCAACATACTATAATGTTTGCAGTTACGAAAACTTAGATCCTAGAGTCAATGTTTGAACATACGCAAACATTCACATTGTGGTTTTTTATTTGAATTAAAGGTGGAACCTGACCACTGGAGCAGCAAGGCCTAATCCTCAGGGAACGTTCAATGTTTCAAATGTGACAATATCTGAGACTTTCATTCTAAACGCGTCTGTAGCAACTATTGATGGATTATCTCGCTACACTGTCAACAATGTGTCTTACTTGACCCCAGATACTCCATTGAAGCTAGCTGATTACTTTTCAAATGGAAATGGAGTATATGAACTCGATGCTTTTTCTAAGAACAGTTCAAATGCAAAGGCCGTGAGTGGAGTTTTCGTTGCCAGTGCATTGCACAAAGGGTGGACGGAGATAGTGCTGAAAAACAGTTTAGACACGATTGATACTTGGCATTTAGATGGATATAGTTTCTTTGTGGTCGGGTAAGTAATCTGCTTCATTTGAAGGATTTTACTAGAAAGTCAGGTTCCTTGTAGAAAAGTATGCATTGCAACAATTGACATGTTATTAGAAGCTAAGTTTATAGTGAGAGCAGCTTCAGCATTAAAATTTGGATGTGATAAATAAGAAATATTTGCTTTCAGAATGGGAGAAGGAGAATGGAGTCTAGAATCACGGCTAACTTATAATCTGTATGATCCTGTTGGTCGATCGAGTGTGCAAGTGTACCCTGGAGGGTGGAGTGCAGTTTATGTGTACCCTGACAACCCAGGAATGTGGAATCTGAGATCACAGAACTTGCAAAGCTGGTATTTGGGTGAAGAGCTCTATGTGAGGGTTTATGATGCTGATCCCAACCCTGCCAAAGAGAAGCCTCCTCCACCAAATCTCCTTCTTTGTGGTTAGTGCATCTTCATAAGTATTTTCTACTGTTTTTTAACCTTCTTTACAAACTTTGTTTTTTGAATGATGATTTTGAAAAGGTGTGATATTATGGTATTGATCCTTTTGAATGTTGACAGGAAAGTATGAACCTCCTGCTCCAACCCCTGCTCCCTCAGTGTCCCCAACACCAAGTGCTCCGTCATCCAATGCATGTAATCTGCATAAAACAAGGTATTAGCAGTTTGTGTTGTTACACCATTTATGCTGTTGTCTGTTATAAACTAACACATGTTCTTTCTGTAACTTCTCTGCAATACGAATAATAGGTATCTGATTGCTATGATCACCACTGTCATATGTTTCTTCTATATTGGTGTTCATTAATTGAGATGGTGCACCCTTTGCTAGGGAGATGGGAGATATGAAGCACAAAAACTCCTACTGTATTTTTCTTTTTCTTTTTAAATTGGTCCATCATGAATGAAATGTATAGAACAAGTATTGCATATCTTCAAATATTTTGGGTATAGTTCAAGATTAATTTCTTATTTATTCTTTGTCTCTTAGAATTAATTTTCATATTTCTATACTTTCTAATAATTTGATTTTCTAAAGTTTGGTTTAGTGCTACTTTCCAGAAATAATTTATTTAATATATAATCGAATAAATCTATTTGACAATTTAGGTCTCCAGGGAGTGGCTGAAAATCTTTGTTTCAAATACAATTTTAAAATAAAAAATATTTATAAGAAAATAAAACTGAACATAAATATTTTAAAAAGAAAATAGTAATTATGTGATTGCAGTGTTGGGTCTATCTATCAAGGAGGGAATTCAACGGGGAGATACAAACACCAATGAGATATAAACTCAATCATATAAAAGATTGACACCACTCTCTACCAAAAAATTTAAAACAGTGAGTTAATGGGTCTTTCACTTTTATATAGTGATCTACTTTTTTATTTCTACCTAATGTGAAACTTAGACTCATACTTGGATTCCCAACAATCTCTCACTCAAGGGTGAGTCCCTTCTACATTAATACACTCCTACTCCAGCGAAAACATTCCCAACCAACTACAACCACGAGTAGTCATTTCCAACCAATGTTCATCTTAACGGAACTTGCTTACCTGAATACCCTTTGCCAGGAAGACTTTCAATATTAGGGATGATTGTTAGGTACAGACAAA